GGGGGCGGCTGCAGCCCCCTCGCGCCCCGACTCACTGTGACGTCCCGCTGTGGGACCTGGAGCCACGCATGCAGCCGGGCGGTGCCGGCGCAGCGACCCCGCGGTATGTGCTGTGTGTCTGTGCTTGGTTCGTTTTTAATACGTTGAAAATGTGAATCGTGTCCCGGGGAGGGAGCGGGGCACAGCGCTTGCCCCACGCTGGTCTGGGCAGCGACTGCCCCCCCACGTCCCCACGTGCGTGTGCAGAAACGTCTGTGGTTTTTATATAAAGTCCAGGTGTCTCCTTTGGACGTGTGTGTGCTGCTGTGCTGGGGCCGGGAGCCTTCCCGGGGCCGACTGTGGTGGGACCATCCCGGCAGCCCCACGGAGAGGAACCGTGTCTGGCTCTCGCTGCGGTCAGGGGAAATCCTGCCTGTGGCCGGCTGCTCGTCGCCCAGGCAGGGACGGGCAGGCGCGTGGGGCAGGAGGGCTGTGCTGGCAGTCAGATCTCCTGCAGTCTGTGAAGTCCCCGTGTGCTTGGCCGAGCATTGGGCTGGGGCCGCCGGGGCCCCGCAGGGAGGTGCCTGCCTGCCCTCGCAGCCGTGTGGCCCAGGGCTGGTGCCAGGGGGTCCCCGTGATGTCACTGCCAGGCTGTCCTGCATCCGCGGCAGCGAGCTCGGGCAGCACTCGGCTGTTCTGGGGCCGTGTGTGGATGGGCTGCGGCGGGCAGGCTGGTTGGGGCAGAGCGGGGGGGTGCTGCAGAGTGATGGGGTGATGCTGTCCTGGTACCAGGAGAAGAGGAGGAAGGCAGAGGTGACCAGGAGGAAGAAAAGTGGGTGCCTGGGACTGGGAGCGGGGCAGCCTCTGGCAGGAGAGGGGCTGTGGCAGCCCCCTTCCCCAGGACCACGGTGGTGTGTGGGGTGGGATGCCAAATGGATCCACCTTTGGGTTATTGCTCAGGGAAATGGATCCACCTTTGGGTTATTGCTCAGGGAAATGGATCCACCTTTGGGTTATTGCTCAGGGAAATGGATCCACCTTTGGGTTATTGCTCAGGGAAATGGATCCACCTTTGGGTTATTGCTCAGGGAAATGGATCCACCTTTGGGTTATTGCTCAGGGAAATGGATCCACCTTTGGGTTATTGCTCAGGGAAATGGATCCACCTTTGGGTTATTGCTCAGGGAAATGGATCCACCTTTGGGTTATTGCTCAGGGAAATGGATCCACCTTTGGGTTATTGCTCAGGGAAATGGATCCACCTTTGGGTTATTGCTCAGGGAAATGGATCCACCTTTGGGTTATTGCTCAGGGAAATGGATCCACCTTTGGGTTATTGCTCAGGGAAATGGATCCACCTTTGGGTTATTGCTCAGGGAAATGGATCCACCTTTGGGTTATTGCTCAGGGAAATGGATCCACCTTTGGGTTATTGCTCAGGGAAATGGATCCACCTTTGGGTTATTGCTCAGGGAAATGGATCCACCTTTGGGTTATTGCTCAGGGAAATGGATCCACCTTTGGGTTATTGCTCAGGGAAATGGATCCACCTTTGGGTTATTGCTCAGGGAAATGGATCCACCTTTGGGTTATTGCTCAGGGAAATGGATCCACCTTTGGGTTATTGCTCAGGGAAATGGATCCACCTTTGGGTTATTGCTCAGGGAAATGGATCCACCTTTGGGTTATTGCTCAGGGAAATGGATCCACCTTTGGGTTATTGCTCAGGGAAATGGATCCACCTTTGGGTTATTGCTCAGGGAAATGGATCCACCTTTGGGTTATTGCTCAGGGAAATGGATCCACCTTTGGGTTATTGCTCAGGGAAATGGATCCACCTTTGGGTTATTGCTCAGGGAAATGGATCCACCTTTGGGTTATTGCTCAGGGAAATGGATCCACCTTTGGGTTATTGCTCAGGGAAATGGATCCACCTTTGGGTTATTGCTCAGGGAAATGGATCCACCTTTGGGTTATTGCTCAGGGAAATGGATCCACCTTTGGGTTATTGCTCAGGGAAATGGATCCACCTTTGGGTTATTGCTCAGGGAAATGGATCCACCTTTGGGTTATTGCTCAGGGAAATGGATCCACCTTTGGGTTATTGCTCAGGGAAATGGATCCACCTTTGGGTTATTGCTCAGGGAAATGGATCCACCTTTGGGTTATTGCTCAGAGAAACGGATCCACCCTTGGGTTATTGCTCAGAGAAACGGATCCACCCTTGGGTTATTGCTCAGAGAAACGGATCCACCCTTGGGTTATTGCTCAGAGAAACGGATCCACCCTTGGGTTATTGCTCAGAGAAATGGATCCATGTCGCAGCAGGGAGGCCCCTGGGAAGACAGGAGAGCTGGGCTGGGACTTGGCTGGGCGAGGCAGCTCCCTGCCTGCTGGTGGAAGGCACGAATTGGTACTGAGGGCAGAGAGGGGCTGTACTGCCCCTCCTGTAGAGCTGCCCTTGGTTTACATAAGGAGTTAAAATCCAATCCTGGGAGAGCAGAGGGCTGCAGGCAAGGCAGCTTCCCAGGGCCCCACCTCTGCCACCTCCACCTCGCCTGCCAGGCACTACCGAGGAGCAGGAGGGCGTCCTGCCTAAGGCACTGTGCAGCGCTGCCGGGCGGGTGGGGAGCTGGGGCCTCTGCCGCTCTGCTGATTGGGAAAAGGACACCTCTGAGACCACGAAGAGCTGCAACAGGAGCGGTTCTGCTGGAGAGCCGCAGGGCTCTCACAGGACGATCTTGAAGGAGCTGCAAGAGACAGGAGAGGTTCTGCACCTCCTCGCTGGGTCACACGCCATCGGCTGAGCGCCCAACGGGGAGGCAGCGCTACCCTGTGCAGGAGAGGCTCTCTGCAGAGCTGGCATGGGATGCAGTTCCCTCTGCTGTTACGGGAGACCTCACACAGGGTAGCCTTGCCTTGCTGCCACCGAGAGCTCTGCCCCAACGCCAGCACAGCCATCAAGGTGGGTGAACCCCCCCAGACAGGACCCCCCCAGACAAGCTGTGCTGCTGGAAACCACCGTACCTGGCAAAGTCCGGGGAGCGGGAGACAACGTGCTGGAACTCAGAGAGGTTGATGGTGCCGTCCTTGTCGATGTCGGACTCTTCCAGGATCTGGAGGAGAGGGAAAGGCGAGTGGTGAGCTCTGTGTGGCCGGGACCGTGTGGTGGCCCATGCCCAGCCTAACAGTCCTCACGTTTTGGATGAGCTGCTCCATCTCTGCGGTGTTCAACCGGGACTCCTCGTCTTGCCCCGTCAGGCAGTTCACCAGTTTCTCCAGGTCCTTTCTGGACAGAGTCCCATCATCATCAAAGTCTTTGGGGAGAGGCAAGTTACATTTCAGCAGGGCCGCAGCGACCCCAGAGTCACGAGCACCCACGCTGGGCAAGGAGAGGGCCTGGGTGACCGGAGGACACCTCTCGGTTCACGCCATCGCGCCAAACCAGCAGTTCCTGCAGGGGGTTCCTAAAGCCACCATCCCCGTGGGTGCTCTGAGGGCACTGCCAGCCCTCACGAACAAGGATTCATCCCTGCCCACCTCCCCCCACCCCCCGCAAGGCGCGGGGACCCCAGGACACGGCCTCTGCCCCCAGGGTTACCAAAGATGCGGAAGGCATAGTGGGATTTGATCTCCGAGGTGGCGGAGTCGCTGAAGACGCTCAGCATATCGAGGAAGTCTTCAAAGGACATGCTGTCGTCACTGTTCTCCGAGGTGGAGAACACATGGCAGATGCGGTGCTGGAAGGGGTTTGCCTGCCGACACAGGAACGGCTCAGCGCCGGGCCGGCTGCCCCGTGG